GGTGTAATTGTATATTTCTGTAGTTTAACAGCTTGTGGTTGAGTTCCTAGTTCCTTAGTTTTGTTTTGTAATAATTCCATTTCGAGTTCGGCGCGCCGTTTGTACCATGCTTCTTCTCGTTGTTGTTGTTTCATTTTCGATTGTTCAATCTCTTGTTGTTGTTGACGTTGATATCGCGCTTGTTCCTCGGCGATTTTCCGTTGACTTTCCAATTGAGTAGTTTCCCGTTGTTTTGTTTGCTCTTCCTCGAGTGATTGTAGTCTCCGTTTGACCTTTGTACGCATTTCTCGCACCTCTTTCATGTCGTCGCTTCTGTCTTGATTCCATGCACGCACGATTTCGACAGTGTTGTCTTCATCGTCCCAGTTATCGTCCATCAGTACGGTGGCCCCGTTGTCCTTGAACGATTCCAGTTTGTTTACTGATTCGCAAAGCCGTTTGTAATGATATTCGACATCCTCTATTTCACCATTGAGGAGAATATCCCTTGTTTCATCGAACGTGAGTTGGATGAGCCGAAGCTCCCGTTGAAATTGCAGTAAAGCCATTGAGTCCTGGCGTGGTCGCCACTTATTGTGTTGTGCACAATTAACTGGACATTTTGACGTCGGGTTTAACGGTTTTAATCAAACACAACACGGTACATCTGACCATTGCTTCACTCGCAAACCATGTGCTGTTCCACACACACTCTCACACTAATGGTCACGTGCTTATCTATGAATACATAATGAGTTTTACAACAGTTGTAATCAAGATGAAATATATATTATGGTTTGTGTTTCATACCAGGGCATGGCTGAGAGTTGCAGGTCTGATTCTCTACCTTGTAGGCCCCAGTACATTTTTGGCCACCATTTGCTGATGCTGGGTTGGTCTGGGAACGGACACGGAATCGTGTCCCACTTCCACATGACAAAGAACATGGCGTCCATTTACTCCACTTGCTAGATTTGCCATCCACTGAAAGATATGAATACCAACCAAAAACCCATGGGGATCTTGCCAAGAATACTATTTACTACCTCTGGGAGAGCAACCGGATAGAGATCGACATCGTACATCATAGTATTAATTTCGGTGGAAAGGGATAAATATTTCACTGACAAAAGTGAGGTGCCATTTACTGCTTTCATCCTTTTTGTAACTACGTCATGACATAGCATACATAGTAGTACATACATAACATTTTTTCTCCAACTAGTATGTTAATACTAAAACAATGAGACCTCTCGGGCTCTTCGACTACGAACTGATAGGCATATTCCTGCCTATGCAAGGAGGTTTAGCTGTAATAAATTGGAAGGATGGATGAACGCATGGATGGCGAATATTACAAATGCCCGCATCACAATTATTAATACCAGATGTCAAAGCTCACGGAATAAGSCAATTAATCACAAATAGTATAGCTAAACATGGCTGCGCGCAACGGGATTAAAAATTACATGTAATTAAAGAAAGACAGCAATACATTTGACTCTCTAAATATTGTATTTTATCTCGACGCACGCATCCGTGTGAAACCGTGAATGGGCGAAAACATCGCATAATAGAAGAGGTTACTAAAAGGCWAATAGCATGAAGCGAAATACACGTTTGAACTAAGAATATTGAGTGCTTTTATTAAGCACTAAATAAAATTACAATTCCTTTTATGCATCGTTGTTTTACTTACCATCCAAACCAAGCCATGCAATGTATGCACACAGCACAACCCCTGTCAATATTGTCTTGTGTAACATTGCTGATCACGTTTAGATGGACAACTTGTTTGTAGTAGTATTTATAGTAAAAACTTTACATTGCAGGATGTGCTTTGCATTCCGGACATGTGTAGGCGTGCTGTTAAAATACTKTCTTATGCTTACTACCAAGCCCAGGCTTCCTTAGCAACGCTACTGATTGACAGCTCCTTCCTTCCATCAACGAATCAGGGATATGTTTTTTTAATAATTAAAAGAAATTAAACTGTTAGAATATGTGAAATCTGAACTTGAAAGCTTCTTTTCCAGAATCTATCAAACTGTTATGACGTGAAGCATTAGAAGAATGAAGTGGCGTGAAAATAAATAGAAAGGACAAAAAGATCGTTATTATTTCTATCCCGTATTTTGCTTCAATATTATTTGTTTTGTTTTCTTCTTTTTATTATTWAAATTAATTTTT